TGTAGGCTGATGTGGGTGATGGACTGAGCCAGGCACTGTACTTGCAAAAACACACAAGTCAGGTCTGTTATCACCTCACAGGAGGTTTCTTTGGGGATCCCCCCAACTGAACTGCTGGACTCAAAACTCCAACCATGCGGAGAATTACAGATCTGTGGTCTGACCATGGAGTGCATGTATCACAAGTGGGCCTTCTCAGTAGCTTAGATAGAACAGCGTACAGCATATCCAGATGTACATGGAGGATAGAGCAGTCCATTGGAGCCTGCAGAGGACATCTGGTACCACAGTAGAGGAAAGAGTGCAGAATAAATTGGTCAACTACCCTAGCCAAGCACTGACAGCAACTATCTAGGTGAATGGAGACTGTAAAGTGGACTGCGTCAGCCAATGAGGGACCCTGGGATGACACCAAGTGGCGATTTGCCATCCCTGGGTACTGAGGCAGTTGGGAGGCTGGATGGAGCTTCTCCTCTTACCTTCCTCTGGATACAGGAAGAAGTAAAAGAAAATTTGGAAACAACGGCCTCACCCACTTTCTCCTAATCATCAATCCTTCCAACTATAATCAACTATGTAAACATCACCAAAATTAAAAATTTTTTAAAATCTTTAAAACAGAACAAACAAAAATACGGACTTTCAAGGTCAACACAATTCTCGCCTTGCATTCCTGCAGAACATTATCTACTTCATAACACTGTCTCACTGCTAGTTGTCACTTAGTGTATTCTACAATACTTCCTGCTGGCCTTTGAAAATGATCTCTGCCCCTACTGTTATTTCTCCCAAATTTAAAGTCCTATATTCCCTCAAGCTTGTGTATTAATTAATGGCATTTTTAGTGTGGCAAAAGACCCTCTTTTATTTGCTAAACTTCTCTCCTCTCTCAAACTTGGAGAAGTCTGACAATACCCTCGTGTGTCCTTACGATACAGAGACTTGAAGTCTTTCTATCTAAATGCTTCTGTCTGCCATGAGTATTCAGATGCCGTGCCAGATACAAAGTTTTCATTAAGTCTTGAAATTCACAAAAATATTCTAGGACATTGGGCAAAGATTATCAGTTCTCACTGTTGTCCCAACTTGACCAGGATCAGTAAGAACATAGCAAGATCCTTCTCAGTGGGTATCTAGTATGTAAGACACAGTCTTGACTCAACAAAATCAAGCTTCTTTTAATAACACCATGTACCCACTTGCGCAGGTACAATCCCACTCAATTCCCACATTAATCAGGAACAAAAAGCATCCCCACTAAATGAAAAAATAAATACTCCTTCAACTCGGTTAAGGAATTTCTCAACTCTTGAGAATGTTTGGAAGAGCTCAATTAGCACTAACAGAATGCCTTTCCTGGGGAGGCAGTAGTGAGCAATCCCATTTGGAATGTGCTATATGATTTTACTTATACAAAAGTAGTGGGGTTTTTTTCCTAATTTTTTTTTACAAGACAACTTATTATATCTATATCTCTCTCAACATCATTATTGAAATTTAAAAATTTATACATGTGAAATAAATGAAAACAGCAATACAAAAGAGTGTGTAATTATACAGCTATAGAGTTACTATATACAACATGAATTAGAACAATACTGGGGCTGGCACCATGGCACAATAGATTAATCCTCTGCCTGAATCATTTTGGGGCACTGATTCAAGTCCTTGCTGCTCCATATTCCACCCAATTTCCTGCTTATAGCCTGGGAAAGCAGTGGAGGATGGCCCAAAGCTTTTGAACTCTGTAGCTACATGGAAGACTCCGGGATTAGAACCAGCACCCACATCCTCCAACAAGAATAAGTAAATCTTTAAACATAAACAAACAGGGCCCAAAATGGTGGCCTAACAGCTAAAGTCCTCACCTTGAACATGCCAGGATTCCTTGTGGGTGCTGGTTCTAATCCCAGCAACCCCACTTGCCATCCAGCTCCCTGCTTGTAGTCTGGGAAAGCAGTCGAGGATGGCCTAAAGCCTTGGGACCCTGCACCTGCTTGAGAAGATCCGAAAGAGCTCCTGGCTATTGGCTTCGGATTGGCACAGCATCAGCCATTGGGGTCACTTGGGAGTCAATCATTGGACGGAAGATATTTCTCTCTCTCCTCTATATGTATATCTGACTTTGCAATAAAAGTAAATAAATCTTTTTAAAAAATAAAAATAAACAACAAACACTACATAAAAGGATAGTGTAAGGCTAGGCAGAGAAAAATGATTAGGCAAAAACAACTGAAAACTCTCAAGTGTTGGGGCTAAACATAGGCTGAAAATATATTAGTCAAAATTAGATATTATCTCCAAACTAATTATCACATCATCTTCACAAAAATGATTCTTTTCAAAGAAAAATCTTGCAAAAGATTTTAGAGTTTGCAACTGAATACTAGGCCTCACACAATTACAGTAAATGTAAAAATGAACAAGTCGAAATCATGCATAAATCAAGAATAATCGAGGAATAAAATGTAATTAGTGAGAAATATGGACAAGAATTTTGGTGTTGATCTTGTGACAGAAAATTAGAAAGTAGTATAGCTGAAAATAAATATAAAATGCACAACAATGGTCACAGAATCTCAGAAAGGTTTCTTACTGAACCTGGAAGCATCACATATTCACTGGTAGCAATGTGTTCTCTGCCACAGGAAGTGCATGGGAGAAGAATGAGAACAAAGTGCCCCTAAAATGCCTGAGAGGCATTCAAAGGGAACTCTCACTGAGAACTCTCTGACTAGTGTCAGCACAAAGCTATTAATCTTCTTCCCTACCAGGCCAGTTTGACTTGGGTGATGTGCAGATAGGGTCTGTTTCTTCTTAGCCATCTGGAACAAACTCAAGCAACCCTTTATTCTTTTATCTATATATTTCTTATATATTCCCATAAATGTCCTTCGTAAAACAAATAATTACCCTTCTCTTCAACAAAAATAAAGTGTATTTATAGCCAAACATGTTCCTATAAAAATCATCTCCAGTCTATAAGAAATTTGCCCCTGCTTACATAAAGGTAGCCTTTTGGGACCAAACCAATGTATATTCACTTTGCAATGATAAATAATAAATATAAATTCTGACAAGAAGTTGGTCACTTTGTAACACTTTCCAAGATTCAATGTAACTCACTGTGCTTGTGTCTCCCTAGCCTATGACACTCATCTTCTGCCCTGAATAAACTATATGTTAATCTTTTTTACACAGTCGGTTTTATTTAAATTAATAAATAACTACATGACATAACTTTACAGAGATCCAGATGTATATTTTTAAATGATAAAAAATTTTCTTTTGTGGAATAAGATTTGCAATTTAATCAGGTGGCCTAATATTAAAATAAACTAGCAGATACATCCAACTGTGTGTGTACCTAGCTCATCTACTTTGTTGTTACTTGAAAATCCTTTTTCATCTAGTTTTAGCATAGACTCGCTTTACCTCCTGTGTTGTCTCTACATATTGCTTAATGCTGTGATTTCTATTTACTCAAAGTCTTTCTGGCCCCATTCATATGTGAAATTTGGATTAACCTGCTTTGCCAAAAAACTGTGATTAAACTATGAAGGAAATTATACTGGGTCTCAAAAATGTGTGAGGAAACAATATAAAACTCTACAGCTATGGACAACAGATAAACTAAAGCATTATTACATGAATCCTATAATTTTGAAACAAAAGAAAACGTTATCGTCAGTTTTTTTACATACTAGTCTTTTTGTACAACAATTATTACTTTGTGGGCAATGATGCAAACAATGAACAAGACAATAAATACTGGGACAGAGACTAAGATGGGACAGATGATGGGCAGGGGGTTATAGTCTTGTCAGGAAGCTAAGTTAACAGAGACTAAATCTGGAGGGTGATCATACCAACAGCCACAAGCGGGATCAGAGAAGGAAAAGATGGTTTCCAGATGAGAGAGATCAAAAGGCTTTCAAGGTGGGGGAGGACATGGGATTCTGAAGAAACATTTCTAGGAATGTTAATAGCACAAGCACATTTGTTCAAGAAACAGCAGCAACACAATTAGGTTGGAGTAAAAAGTTGGGAACCTATAAGAAAGCTTAAAGACTCTGTGGGCTACACTTCAGAAACCACAGTCTGAAATGTGGCCATTCAAGGTCTTTATTAGCTGTCTAAATATGTTGAAATTTATTTTATTATTATTGAGAGGAAATGTAATTTATTTTAGCCTGATAATTAACTAATGGAGGAATATTTCAAAGTTAGCAGCAAAAATGAAATAAAGTAATAATGAAATCGGGAAAGCAGAAGAATTGAATATAAAACAACCAACTTACACACCTTGTCTAGGTAAAGAATGAAGATGGCAAACCACCTTGGGAAAAACTTAAGTATCATTTTCAGTGACGAAAAAATCCTGACAGACTTAAAGAACGGTGGACTATTACTATCACCCACATCCAATGTTTATGCTTTCTGTTTTTAACTTTATCCTTAAAAGAATCTAACAACAACAAATCACCTTTGGAATATTATTCCATACCTCTCTGGGATACCTGCAGATGATCAAAAGATCTTGAAATGTTTCCCTGTTCCTTATAAATGTTAAGAGCAGAGAATTGCTTTTCAAAACATCAGTCACAGGATGAACTTCCACAGAATACAGCTTTCTGGGATTCCCTCAATTGCCTTTTAATCCAATAACCTGTCTATATTTTTCAATTTATTTTCTGCATCTCTTAATAGTGATTCCGGATAACGAATGATGAGTATGGAATGGAAAGGAAATGGCATAAATTTGGTTCATTTGAAAAGAGTTTATATTTTTACTGTGTTTTGCACAGTGTCATTTTAAATATGTGCTACCCTGAGAAGGATTTTATTGTTTTGAACCACAGGCATTATATTACCTAAAAAAAAAAAACCTTTCAGCGGCAAGTTGGATGCTCTGGCAGCATTACAAATCTAGCACCACCCAAGGAGGCAGCGGATTTGCTTCTTCGCTCCCTTCTGTCAGGACAGAGGAATGCTGGACATCCAGAGACAAGCGAGACTATACTACACAGCTTCCCAGTCCCACAGCTTGGGCCTCCTTCTTCTGGAACACACAGGTATGTACACTGCAGTGCCGATTCAAGGGCAGAGTTCAGGCTAGCAAGCCTGGAAAGTCAAGTGCACTCTCTAAAGGTGACACCTTCAGGGAGTTCAACTTGATCTGACTTAGGTCAGAAAGTTCTTATTTCACCCAATAAATTCCTGAAAAGGTCTTTTTATGTGCTTCATTATATCTTTATACATCATTTTGCAGGCTGCTTGTTTACATCGACACAAAAACACCAACTTTTTTTTTTAGTTAAAACTCCATGACTGACTGTAAATGTTACCTTTTCATGTTCAGAAATTCAAGATCTTAAAACAATGCTTATTGATAAACAATGAGATGTCATAAAGCTTAGTTATTCAGTAAGTGTTCAAAATGGCAAATGGATAGAATATTAAGACAAAAGACAGTGAACTAAAACCTACAGTTAGATTTCACCATTATATGGCAGTAGTTTCAAGTAAAAATATCAATGTTATTAGTTTGAACTCTTAATAAATTTTTAATATCATACATTATCTTTTCACTTAGATGTCAGAAATTGAGCTGGAAAAGATAAAAGTAAGAACATCTGAGCATTTTGAAAATGATAAAAATAACATTTCTTGGTTGAAGGAAGGTAAGTCTCCCTACTCTTGACTATCTTTTAGTTTGAACATTGTGTTTATGCTTATAAACAAGAAACAGCATGAGAAAAAAAATATTCTCATAGTTCAAATGTGACTAGCTTCTTTAATTTTTCTTTTTCTTTTTTAAACACATATCCTTAAGCAGTAGTCTGAAGCTGTCTGAGTTTTGAAACACTTCTTGTAGCTCTGTGTTGGGGAAACACAGACTGTATTATTGGTAAAACTTACACATTTTCAATATAGATACGTATTATCTGTGACATTCTTGTACTGCTGTAGATTTTTCTCCATTACAGCCAAGGCTAAGTAATTTGAGAAAAGGTATTTTTAAATGATCGTCACGGAAAGGAAGGCACACTGTAAGAAATAATGTCTGCAAATAGAATCACCATTCACTGCAATTAGAGAAGCCACCTCCCCCGGGGAGAATGCTATCCGGCAGAGGTACGGCATACGAAAGACAGTTACTTGAAATACACACACAAATCAATACATTCTCCTACAATGAGTGCAAATTTGTGCACTTTTGAAACTATGCCTAAACTTGTGATTGTTTACTAGAAGGGTTGGTTTTATAATATTTAGACTTTATGAAATAATTTTATGTATCTCAAAGAAAACCAAACTGACGTTTTCTCTCTCTCTCTCTCTATATATATATATATGCTATTTTTTTTTTACCAGTTCACGAATCTAATACATTGGAAAAAGACTGGTCTAAAGTAATTAAAAATCTTAAAATTCATTTTATAATGTCATAAGAAACTAATATCAAGAAAGTTGCACATTGCTAAAATAATATCAAAAACATCTATAATGCTTTCTGACATTTACTGATTATTATGCTGAATCATCATGACAATCCTTTGAGGCAGTTATAGTATTCCTAATTTACCAATGAGAAAATTGCCTAACAAAATTGAAGTGACTTGCCCAAAATCAGAAAATCAGAAAATAGCAGAGCTAGAATTCAATCCCAGTTCCTATGACTCTGAAGTACATGACTCTACACCTTACCATATTCCAAGGGGAAACTGTTATTCATTAAGACTTGACCTCTGCTCAAAAGTGTTTTCCTGGAGTGTATAAACAACACCTCCAAATTCATTGTTCCTTAACTCTACCATACTTCTACCTTTATGTTAAAAAATGTTTACTTTTCAGAAAAGGATCAAATCCTCTGGCTAATTACTGAATAACCAAATTTAACAGTGGAATTTGTATCTTTGAATGATTTTCTTTCAGAGTAAATGTTGACACACATACACACAAACATACACACCTATGAAGTATTCTCAGAATAATTTCCTGAAAAAAGAAAAAATCCACAGGACTGGAAAATGCTCTTACTTCTTTTTATCAAATGATATTTTAAAAAAACATACTTTTAAAACAATGTAGAAGGGGAAAACATTTGGTTTGGATCACAAGTCCCTATGTGTTTTTCTTGTGAACCTCAAATCCATGATGACAGAGAAGTTCTTCACCGTTACTTGTAAAGACCTTATATTATTTATTTTTAATTTAATTGCTTTACATTTTAAATGTCTCATAAAGAAATAACGATAACATTTTAGACCAATCAATTGTTTCCTAATGAATTTTGTGATAAAAAATTACATCTATTAGATCCAACTTAGGCATTAAATTCTTGTAATCCATAAAATATAATTTCCCAGGTGACCTGTTTTATCCCATTTGGACACTTCATTTAAGCTACACTCAAATTATGTTTACTATATTTCATAAATGGAAATTGAGCCAGATGCTAGATGACAAGATCTTAATTGAGAATTATCAGGATGAGTTAGTTTTCAAACATAAGTGTCTCTTTTTTAATGCTAAAAAAAAGTATATACATTGGCTTTAAAAAAAGTAAAAGAAAAATTGGGATACCAGAAACATTATAGCACTGATGGCAGGCAAAAATGGTTTTAAAATTTCAGCTCAGCTCTTTTATTTACTAGCTGTGTGACTGTAACATGTTACTTTACTGCCTTGAGGCTCAGTTCCCTTAGCCAGGGACTATACCAAAGTGCAGAAATTTGTGAGAATGTAAGAATAAGATTACATTATTCCTGCCATTTATTTCATTCTTTAAAGTAGGATTCAAAATAGAAACGGTTTCAGAATTTAGCTTATACCAGAAAATATGTAACAACAATAGTACTTCATATTTTATCATTTTTTAACTATTTTGGTTCCTATGACAACCTGGTTGTAGTATTATTGCTCCCATTTTACAGACAGATTGAGCCTTAGAGACTTTGGGTCTTGTTTAAGCTCGCAGAGCTGTTTAAATGGCAAACAAAATCATAAACTGAGATCTTAAGGGATCCAATATCTACTATTTTTCCTTTATCATACTATTTTCTTTAACATTTATCAATTATAATCTTTATTCTATTGACCTCCCCAGGCCCCAGCTTTAAAGAGAAAGAGAATGAGAAGGAAGGAGGGACAGAGAAAGGCTTTAAGTAGGGCAAAAAAGTCATTTGACAAAATACTGATGATCATATTGACAAAAGGGGTTACATCTCACATCACAGTGCTGCATCTGTTGCCTCCCTCAAACTCTGGCTGCATCAACCCACCATTAAACTATGGATAATTATCAATGTTGTATTAGGGTTAGAGCTACCACTCACTGGGGTAATCTACACAGGCAGTGGTTATACAACATGACCTGATAGTGGGCATATAACTAAAAGCTATTGCCATCATCATCATTCATGGTACTTATATTCTAGCTTCTGATCATCCAACATTTCACAGTTTATACAACTGAATGAATGAATATTTACTGAATCTGAAATTAGAGATAAATTACATATGTGGCAGATGAACGAATGAACGAAGAAAGAAAGGGGGAGGGAGGGGGAGAGGGGGAGAGAGGGGAGTGAGGGAGGGAGGGAAAGAAGGAAGAAAGACAAGACAAGACAAGTCTCACAATAGAGTAGCTTATTATCTTAATATCTTGCTCCAGCCTAAAAGAAGAAAGAGCTCTTACTTGCCTTCCATTTCCTCTCAGATAGAGGAGGGATCCCCTGCCCTCAGCTCATGAAATCTACTCCCAAAGCTCTTTGCAATAATTAGAATAAACAGTTTTTGACAAATACCTCTGGCAGACCTAAAAAGACACTATTTTAAACTGAATCATCTTTTACCTTCTATCAAACCATCAAGAAATCTTCTATTAATACTAGCCTTAATACCTTTAAATCTAGACTTAGCAAATCCTAAATTCACCAGATTCCTGGGTAATAACTAAAAATTCAAGAGGATATAGGTGGAGCCAACAAATAAATGTTTGGCAGTAAGACCAGTGATACTGAAATAAAATGCCAAGGAGTCATATGGAGAAATTCTATTGTTATAAAAAAAAAATCATGGGTTTTAAAGTAAGCAGCAGTCAAGATGAGGTGCACCACGCAACTGTTGACCGACACGTACATTAAGGCCAGTATCGAAGGTGGCCATGGTGTATCTGCACAGCAGAATCCACTCTGAGAACCAAGGTACCTGAGGCTGGACGTCGCTTTATTGTAGTGCTAGGGAATGGGGCCCACTCACTAATTATTTGTGTGATGACTGACACAAAATGAGGGAAGGGAGAGTTGGGAAAAGTACTGATTTACAGTCTAAATTCTAGTTAGATAGAATAAGAAATTCTGGTGCTTTATTGCAAAGTAGGGTGACTAGAGATAATGACAATAATGTATGTTTACTTAAGAAAAAAACTGGAACAAGAGGGATTCTGAGGTTTTTTTTTTTTGCCACAAAGAATTGTTAGATGTTCGAGGAGACCAATATATTTATTTTGATTAGGCAGTACATGCATATATAGAAACATTACATGGTACCTCATAAACATGTGTAATTTTTGTGTCAAGTTAGAATAAAATTAAAACACAAACACAAATAGAAACACACCAAAAAATACGAGGGAGGAAAGCAGACTAAACTGCAGCTATATATTAAATAAGTGAGGGAGCGATTCTGTGTTGTCACTGCAGGTCTGAGAGCAGTGACTATTATACCGAAGCATGTTAGAATCAAATGAGTCTTTACATTGGTAACTGGGACGCACAGGGACGTGATCAGGCAGCGGAAAAGTTAAGAAAAGAAAAACAAGGGTGGTTAAGTCACTGATCTGTTCAACATTCCTAAAGTGAGGACTACCCGTCTAGTATAAAAGTCATAACAAGGAGAGAAAGAACAAGGTTCAAATGTGAAAAACTTTATGGAGGAAAAAACTAATGCAACATAGAAATTGGGGGGAAAATTACAGGTGCAATAGGCTGGCATGTAATACTCCATTAAGCCAAGGAGCATTGTGGGTAAGCATTTCAATGCTGGTGTCGTACACCATTTGATACGGAAGACAAACATCAAGATGAAGGGAGGGAAGCTCTTAAATTGTCGCCATTTGCAATTTAAAGTCGCAGCATCACCAGCATTTGAACTGCATATAATGTATCGTGTCTCCTGATGTTTTTCAGAAGGGAAAAAAATCCTTCATACAGGAGGATTTCTATGTGAAATCCCCTGAGTGATAAAGGTTAAGTAAGAGTAGCAACAACAATGAAACGCCACGCAGGACACAGGAAGCAGGTGCTGGGAGTCTATTCAGCCCTTAGTCAGCCAGTAAGTTCTACCTCAGATCTTGACTCTCTAGACAAAATCTAATACAATTTCCTGAAAACTGGCTTTTGTCCTTCAAAAGACTAGCTATTTGCAATTGTTTCACTGGGGTATTCCCTTCACAGTTGCAACTAGTGTAGGGAAAACATTTATTCCAAGTTGCAAATATATCAATTCAAGAAACGACTAGGTATCATAAGCAAGCCTGTTCCCATTGAATCAGAATCAATAAATATCAGAGACTAATAATCCAAAATATTCAAAAACAATTTCAATATAAAAATCCACATTCCAACAATTACCTTTCTTTTTTTTATGTTAAGTTTTTAAGCACATCTTGTTCCAG